CATGGTATATATCTCCATATATTTAGGACGTCTTCTTTTCTTTAAGCAATACTTTGTATTCTTTCAATGTACAAGACTTGCATATATTTCATTCAATTTATTTCATAGTTTCACATTACTACAAATTGCATCTTTAAAAAGATATTCGATTTCTAATTGTCCTTAGCCAATACATAACATCGCAAAGGAATTTTGTCATTTGAACTAGTGTCTTAACACCTCGGTAAACACTTTTATTGGTGTTACTGACTTCACTGTGGATAATTTTAGATTTTCTAACTGTGCAATCATGTCTGTGAATGAAGACTGTTTTACTTGTTCCTTTAGGATCTGGAGAGCTCTTACTTCTATGTCTCGCATTCATTGCACCAGGAGGGTCTACAGCATATTGTTGAACAGAATTGGCAAGAGCAGCCATCCTTGCCTCAGGTCCAATCCCAGGGGAGAAAGTTCTGTGGCCTGTGGGACTGGCCCCTCCAAGCCTTAGGAGAAATTGTGAGCAGAAACTTTCTGTAAAAACAGCCAGCAGAAGTCCTGACACAAGCCTGGGTTCAGAGTTCACAAAAAGCTTCACATCAGGACTGTTGTTAGCTGTTCTTTTGTACATTTTCATGGCTCTTTCACAATAATCTGGTTAGAGGGATGATTCCCTTGCTTTGCAGAACAGTAAAGTGAACCACAGAGACACAAAGGGACTCAGTCAATGCGTGGCATTGATGGATTTGAACTCAGTTCTTTTGGACACAAGTCTTGCGGTCATCCACATATACTAGGGGATTCACTCCCTTGCGAAGAAGGCCATTAATTTTAAAATAATTGGAGGCTGAGTGTTATGGGCTAAAAAATCATAAAATGAATAAGTTGAAGTTCTAACCCCCAGTACTTCAAGATGTGACGGTAAGGAGATAGGGTTTTTAAAGAAGTACTTCAGTTCAAATGAGGTCATTAGGGTGGGCCCTCAACCAATACATCTGGTATCGTTATAAGAAGAGGAAATCTTTGTAAGAAGAGGGAAGACCCCATGGGGACATGGGGAAGAGAGAGCTGTCTTCAAGTCCAGGAGAGAGGCCTCAGAAGGCACCAGCCCTGCTGACTTGTTGATCTTAGGCTTCCAGCCTCCAGAACTGTGAGAAATAATTCCTCACTTGTGTGTCTTGATCTCTGCGTACTCGGTGTTGGTGCCTTTTTGTTTGGGAGGCTTGTGAAATCTGAGGAAAGCATAGTGGAGCTCTGGTTCCTCTCTTGAGATGGGGCTTACTCCAGCAGGGGTTGGGTGGTGTGAAGAGGAGTCTGTCCAGAACTGGTGCTGATGAGCCTGAGTGGAAGGAAGAGAAGGACTCAGTGCTGGGCAATAGAGTCAGGGAGAAAGCAGACAAAGACTAGAATGGGATGGGGACTGATGGAACTCTGATCATTGACCCACTCATTTATTCAAAAATAGATAATAATTAAGATTGTCTAATCCTTAGTGAGTATATATATTAATAGTACTAGTGTATTGGTATATATATATATATATATTAATAATATTCTAAAAAAAATGCAGGAAGAGGATAATATTATCATATTCATCTTACAAACAGTAAAACTAAGGCAAAGAGAGATTACATGCATTGCACTGAAGACACACATCTCTATCCATGCACCACTGAGCCAGGACTCTAATCCGGCTCTTTCACTATGGCGCCATCCTCTGTAGGGGCCGTGCGCCAGGTGCTGTGTGTCGAGTGACGAAGAAAGCAGACCCAGCCCTTGACACAATGTGGCTGATGGTTTTCTAGGACAGGCAGTTGTTAAACAAATAGGAAGCAAATACATTTCAAGATCTCAGTTTGAGATAGGAGATATTTTGAAATATAAAGCAAGGATGAGGGGTGCGTACCCAGGTTCTGGACAGGTCCTAGAAGACAGAGCAGAGAGCAAGCCCTGCCAAGATGGCACCAGACACCTCGCCCATATCTGCTCCCTGCCCACAACACCTACAGGCTACAGATGCATGAAACAGAAACCCTCAAACAGCAGCTCAGAGAGGCAAAGACAAACAGTCCTCAGATCAGGAAAGGGCTTCACTATTGCAGAGCGAGTGGAAGAGAGGGAGACGGCTGCCCAGAAGGGGCAAAAGCAAGAAGAAAATCCGTGATGGATCAGCTGTGCTAATCTACTGCAGCCAAAACACGGGAAAGAAAGAAACATGCCTGTGAATAACCATAACTGTCGGTATTTGCATATCGACAAACCTCATCCATCAAAAGACACAGACAGAGGTTTAACAGCACTACGGTTATTAAATGATTCACCCCAGAAATATTTATTGAGTACCTGCTGTGAGTTATGAGTCAGGCGTTCCTCTAGGCCCTGGGAATGCAACAGGGAATAAAACAACAACAATAACAAGCCACCCTTGAGACTCACTTGCTAGACAAGGGAAGGATTCTGATCCGTAGTAACGAGTCCTGTGCTCAGTGTGTGCCAGGCACTATTTTAAATACTCCTCACAACTATTCTGTGACATGGGGTCTCCTCATAGTCCCATGTCACAGAAAATAAACAGAGGTCAGAGAGGGAACACCATTTGTCCAGGGTCACACAGCACATCAGTAGGGAAAGGGGATTTGGATGCGAGTGGTCTGGCTCTGGAGCACAGGCTTTCAAACACTATGCTCTACTGACTACAAGACACATTCCTTAAAACAAAACGTTTACTGCAACTTTGTAAGTAAAGTAATGGAAAAGATACGTCCTGATTCCTGTCTCTACGATTCTTGATGGGGACTTAGCACACACTGAGGATTCCATTCCCCAAGATCAACCAGGGGAAACAGTACAGGGAATTAAGTAACTTGATTAAAAAAAAAGATTTTCTGTCTCCTTGTTCTACCAGTTACTGAGAGAGGAGTTTTAAAGTAACCAATTATAATTGTGGGTGTGTCTACTTCTCTCTGCATCTCTGTCAGTTTTTGTTCATTTATTTTGATAAATGATGCTCTGTTATTGGGGGCATACATGTTTATGATTTTTATATCTTTTAGTGACATGATAGAAGCCAAATATATACAGTAAATATTGCAGGTTCCATTTACATGAAGTTCCAGAACAGACAAAACTAATATATAGTGACAGAAGTCAGTGATAGCTGTAAACGGGGGGTTGACTGGGAAGCAGAGCAAAGAAATTTGGGGGAGTGATGGAAATGTCCCATATCTTGACTGGGGACATGTTTACAGAGTGTAAACATTTGTCCATATTCATTTAACTGTACCCTTAAAATGGGTGCATTTTATTCTCTGTAAAGGATACTTCAATAAGTTCAGTGTTGATATGAAATAAACACAGTGATAGATTTGAAAAATGCAAAATGAGGTGATGAATTGTGACTTTGGGGTGCCCGGGCTCTTTACACTGGATCCCATGTCCACTACTCTCCTTGTATGCAGTGTGTCTGACACAGACTAGGTTTGGGCCATTACTCCTCCCCAGTGATCAACACCAGAAGAAAAGGCTAATATTCCAGGGGATTTTGATCAACTGGCAGATGAGCCATAAACACCCACAAAAAACCAACTAGACAACATACCCATTCCATCAGAAGGAGAAGCATCAGAGAAATTGAGTCAATAATTTAAAATGTTCACATGTGGAACTCTGGAAAGTGTTGGATGTAAACAGGGAAGGTCCCAAGGGGCCTTGCAGAGGGGGCATCCACCAGGGATAACGTTGAATGGAGCCCATGTCCCCTCACTCACCATGGAGCCTGAGCCCTCAATTGGGTTCACGTCGTCCGTGCTCTGTACTGGTTGGGCTGCCTTCTTCCTGCAGGTCTTCACTCTAAGGGAACAGCCCTGGGCATTTCAGCCTGGTTATTGAGGCAGGGAGTAGGCAGACCACCCCCTACTCCCTGTGCAGGGCATGGGAGTGCTGAAAGAGGTAGGGGGAGGTGGAGCCCTTCTCCAGGTGCTCCCCCTAACCCAAGAACTTGACCAGAGCCTGAGAAGGGACCCCATGCTTGGCCGTGTTTGTTACAGGCTGATTTGCACCACCACTCAGCCTCCCTTCCCTGGCTCCTGGCTCTCCAATCGGTCTAGTTCCTCCAGTTCAGATTTTCTGACATTCTGCGACCTTATGCCCTTCCCACCCCAGGCCTCTCCCTCTGTCCCTGGAGCCCACTCTCACCTGAAGATGAGACAGAGGCAGAGAGAAAGCAGGGCCATGATGCCAGCTCCCTCAACTGCTCCCAGGACCCTGCCAGCCCTGGGTTCTGGTTTACCTGTAGATAATTTGAGTTTTGAGTAAACTCCAACACCAATACATGGCATCCTCCCAACTGGCCACTTCTTTCTCTGTATGTTCCCTTAGTGGACCCACTCCCCAAACAGGACTCAGTTGCTTTGCATTCCATTGCCCTGTAGACCCTCGACCAGCCCCTTCTCCTGGCCACAGGACTGAGGATCTTACACTCCCAGCCACTCTGACCCAGGCCTTGGGGTTCCTCTCCTTCAAGCTCCTTCTCTCTGTTATGGGTTCAACTGTTTCCCCCTCAAAATTCATTTGTTGAAACCCACACTCCACCCCATCATATCCCCTTCCTCGTACCTCAGAATGTGATCTTATTTGGAGACATGGTCTTCCCAGGGGCAATAGTTAAAATGAGGTCATTAGGTTTGGCCCTAATCCAATGTAACTGGCATCCGCATTAAAAAGGGAAATTTGCACACAGAGAATGAGAATTCCATGTGAAGATGAAGGCAAAGATTAGGGAGATGTTTCTACAAGCCAAAGCATGACAAACATTGCCAGCAAACCACCAAAAACCAGGGGAAAGGCCTGGAACAGACCCTCATAGCCTCACAGAGAACCAGCCCTGCTGACACCTGAACCTCAGGCTTCTGCCCTCCAGAACTGTGAGACCATAAATCTCTGTTGTTTATCCCCCATTTGGGGTACTTTGTTATGGCAGCCCTAGGAAACTAAAAGAAGCATCCAGGCCCCTCTTTCCCCAAGTGTCACCCCTCTGGAGACCCCTGACCTGGCAGCAGCAGGGCAGTGGCTCCCTGGGCCCCACGGACATATGAGGCTTCGCAACTGATTCGGAGACCAGAGATGAGACCATCGCTGAGGCTCAGGGAGCTGTTGGCCCAGGGCCCCTCGGAGCTGGAGGTGACCGTGAAGGAGGCATTGCTGCTGTTCCCCTCCAGCAGACCCTCCCCCAGCCGCCCGTGCAGGGAGGGGGCCAGCTGGGCTCGGGAGGAGCAGACACAGTGCAGACCCTGGTCATCCCAGGACCAGGAGGAACCCAGCAGGTGTGGGAGGTCTGTGGGTAGGGAGGAGAATGCCAGCAGGGCCTCTGCCCTTCCCAGGACCCATGTGTCCTGCCCCGGGGGTCCCCACACTCACAGACCACGGAGAGGCTCACAGAGACATTTTGGGAGCCCAGCGGGTGCTGAGCGAGGCAGGTGAAGTCTCCCCCTGTAGTCTCTACGCGAGGAAGATCCAGGATGGCGGTGGTGGAGATGGGGGTGGTGTTCAGGGCTGGGGACCCCTGGAACCAGCTCAGCTCTGCAGGGGGGTTGCTGTCAGCCACACAGAGCAGCCGCACAGCCTGGCCTTCCAGGATGGGAAGGGTTGAGGCGTCTTGCAGAATCTTGAGTGCTTTGGAGAGAGAGATGCAGAGAAAGAGAAACAAAGACAGAGAGAGATGGGGTGGGCGAAGCTGGCATCTCTCTCCACACTAACTCTGAGGAGGGGCCAGGAGAGACAGGCTTCAGGCCTTCACAAGAAGCCCAGATGATTTCCCTGAGCTGTTTATAGTGTCGGGCAGATGGAGGACAGAGGGCTCAGGACAGGGATGTAGCGAACAAATGAAGTTAATGGACCAAGGAGGGGCTATGGAAGCAGGAGGTAACACGTCAGAGAGAAGGTGAAACAAGAGGGATGTGACAGCTTCCTTTGGATTTGGCCAGAGAAAGCTGTGGGTGAGAAATGATTAACTTCTGGGAGTTGGGATTTGTGGGGGCTTTCCCCTGTGCTCTCCCCACGTCTGACCTCAGTAGCTGGCTTCTCACTTATCTCTCACTTAGTCCCCGGACAGCTGGGGCTCTAGATCCAGCTAGACCTGCATCCAGCCCAGCTCTGGAGAAAAGAGGTTGTTTCTTACCTGTGCTGTTTCCTTGGAAGATGCTGATGACCATGTTCTGTGGAGCATCTGGGACAGAAGGATGTGGCAGCCTCAATATCCATGGCAACTGAGGGTGTGCACTGGGCCTTTCCCCCCAGGAGCCATGGAAACAGGTAATGGAGAATCCCTTCCTGTTGGACTATCAGGACCCCTACATCAAGCCCTAGCCCAGCTCTGCCCCGGCCCTACCCCCTCAGGGACCCAGGCGTCCTGGTCCAGCACTCACAGGTGATGTTGAGCTGGATGGTCCTTTCCAGAGTTACACCAGCTCCAGGGAACTTCACCTGACAGGTGAGGCTGGTACCGTGGTCCTGGGGCCGTGGGGTGAGGGTGAGCACTGAAGAGAGGAGGGTCCTGTGTCCCAGGGAGGTGAGAGCAACTGACGTCCAAGAGAAGATGGGGGGTGTGCCCCACTCACAGGCCCAGGACACAGAGCAGGTAAGGTTCTTGGGGTGGCCCGATTCCAGGGGCCCCGAGATAAGTATGTCGGGCCTGTGAGTCAGGGCTGATGAATGGAGAGAGGAAGCTGAGGCCCCCAGGCATGCTTTCAGCCTGCCCCAGGGTCTTGTCAAGGCTCTCCCCACCCCACCCCACCCTCAGGATGAAAAGAACATTCTTTTCTCTATTTCCAGTGCCCCCCACCATGGGGCCTTTCCCTGTGCCCTGCCATACCTGTCACATTCAGAGAAAGCATCTTATCCAGATACGAGTGTTTCGTGAAGTATTTCTCCATGTGAAAGAAGTAAGACCCACTGTCCCCCATGTTGACGTCTCTGATGCTCAGGGAGCAGTTTTGGGCCTGGGGGTCTCCGAGGAGGAAGAACCGGCCCTGGGTGCTCTCATGCAGCTTCTGTTCTCTTTTGTTTGTGGCCACTGGATTATCACGGTTTCTATCCGCCCCTTTCCGGAACCAGAACACGTGGAGGATTCCAAAGGTGGTCCTGGGATAGGAAAATTTGCAGGGCACGAAGACACACAGGCCCTCCTGCACTGTCACAGACTCCTGTAGTTCCAGCCGGTACCTCTGATCCTGAGCTGTGGGCACTGGGGAGAGGGAGAAACTCAGCCTGGAGCTCTGGTGCCTCCCCAGAGTGGGGTCCCCTCTCCCCTCGACCACTCACCTCCCCACAGCACAGGCAGCAGCAGAAGCAGCTGCAGTGACATTCTGTCCTCCTGCCCTGGGATGGTCCACCTTCTGGGGTCCCTCTGAGAGAGAAGAGAAAGTCACAGCTGTGGGAGGGCGGAGGAAGCTGAGACAGGAAGGCGGTGCTAAGAAGAAAGGGCCACAAGATTAGAAGTGGAAATACAGACCACAGATTCAGCTGTGACTTCCCGTTTGAGATCATCCAGACCCATTTCTGCATGTGGCAAATGAACCCTGAAGCTCAGACAGGCAAGGGGCTTGCCCAAGTGAGGCAGCAAGGAAGGACGAAAGCCCCCCAAGTCCTGCCTCCTGGGCTGGTGCGGGGTTGTCTGTACTGGAGAAGCAGGTCCCACCCGGCCAGCTCCCAGAGAGTCAAGAGCGCAGGGAGGGCGGCTTCCCATGATGGCAGGGAGGGCAGCTTCCCATGACGACAGCCAGGGAAAGCCTTTCTATTTGCCTATGAAGGGGATTGAAAAATACATATAATTCTTTAGCTATGGGCTGAACTCCTCTGATGGTTCTATCCACAGAACTACCACCTCCTAGGAAGGTCACCTGGCGTGTAGGGTTGATTTCATGACCTTGACCCTAACACATAGGTGAGGACTTAGGAAAGGGGCGGGAGCTTTGGGCCCAGGGGGAGAGAAGCATTGTCTTCTCTCTTCTCTCTCTCTTCATTGTCACAAGCTGCTGACGTAGTGCTGTTTACACCCCAAGATGGTTGCACTTCAGGTGAAAGGGGGGTAGATTTGAGATATCTGGTACAAGCTGGAGAGAAGAAAAAGACTCAGACCCCAGAATGTGATCCTGGGGGTATCCTCCACATCAGCCACCCCTCTCTCAGCACCACGGTCCTGATCACCTCCCCCACCCTCCAGATAAGGAGCAGGTGTGTTCTTGTCTCTGGGGTTCTCTCCTGGGGACCCTTGGCTACTTGTCACCTTCAGAGACAGTGCCATATATTGAGTCATAGTTCACATAATATTTCTGTATCCTAAAGTCTTCCCACTTTCCCACATCCTGGAACATCTGATGTTCAGAGAGCCACTGTGGGCCCTGGGTCCCCGGGGAGGTTGAGTCAGCCCCAGATTCTCTCTTCCGCTTTTGGTAGTGTCTGTGGCCAGAGGGGGATTGTGGTGTCTGTTGGCTCCTCCAGGATCTGAAAGCTGGCGTCAAGTGGGCTAAAGACAGTCCAGAATACTCATGGGTTGGATTGGAGAACGGGATAGGAAGCACAAGCAGGCCCTCTTTCGCGGTCATTGGCTGAAGGTTACAGACTGTACCTGCACTGTCCCCCAGGGTCCACTGCAGGAAACAAAGTCTCTAATTGCAGCCCCACCTGGAAATCTCTTCCTCAGACCTGTTGCCCTCACAGTTGTGGCTGCAGCGGCAGCAGCATCCCTGGGCTGCAGAGGATCATCTAGATTCCCTTGATACCATCTGATCAGCCTCTCCCAGCAGGGAGGTAGGGGAGACTGTGGGGTGGTCAGTGAGCTGAGGAGGAGCCTGTGACCTTGACCTTTCACAGAAGAGGAACTGTAGGCTGGAGCTTGTCCCCCTCTGCACAGAGCGGGAAGACACCTCACAGCCCAGAGACCCCGACCCACCCAGAGGGGAGCAGACCAGGAACAGACCCCATGCCCTGCCCCCATCTCAGGGTTCCTCTCCAGCACGGGAGCCTGATGTAGGACCTCTGAGGACATTAGCGGAGTGCGACTAGGTGAGTCTCTAAGGGCCTCCCGTCTGATGTGTTTCTGAGCCCCGTTGTCCTCACCAGGGAGCTGGTCAGCTCCTGCCTGACCCCGGATGGTCACAGCCTAATCTAGAGCCCAGGTGGTTGGCCCTGCCAGGTGGAGGACTCTTCAGGGTCTGTGTGAGGGTCGGGGGTGGAGGAAAAGAAGGGATCTTAGGGAAGGTGAGGGCAGCAGCCATTCATTCATTCATTCATTTATTCACTCTCCAAACACTTAGTGAGCATCTCTGTGTTGGTGAGGCTGGAGACAAGAAGGGAGAAGACCGACCTGGTCCATGCCCATGAGATGCTCCCTACCCAGTGGAGTCACGTCCTCCCCAAACACTCAGTACTGTTGGGCTCTAGAGCTGCAGTCACTGGTGATTTTGTTGTGTGTCCTGGTAGCATATTTGATCTTTTCTAAAATAAGAATTTTTATTTATTTTTAAATTTAGTCTTTAAAAAAACCTCTTTTCAAGTTGCACAACTTGAAACTCTATCCCCATTAAACAAAATCTTCCCATTTCCCTCCACCTCCCAACCCCTAGCAACCACTATCTCCTTTTCTACCTCTAGGAATTTGTCTCCTTTAGCTTCTTCATTTTATTGCAATCATATAGTATTTGCCTTTTTTGTGACTGGTTTATTTTACTTACCTTAATGTCCTCAAGCTTAATCCACGTGGTAGGACGTGTCAGAATCCTTTCCTTTTTAAGGCTAAATAATATTCTATGGTAGGTGTACACCACACTGTGTTTATCCATCCATCTGTTGAGGGACACTTGGGTTGCTTCCCCCTTCAAGCTATTGTGCATATGCTGCTGTGAGCATGGGTGTGCAAATATCTCTTTGAGCCTCTGCTTTCAATTCTTTTGGATAAATACCCAGAAGTAGAATTGCTGGGTCATATTTTAATTCTATTTTTAATTTATTGAAGAATCCCCATTCTCTCACCATCTTCTCTATTTTTCACCTCATCTGTTTTCATCACCTTACACTGGCTATTCATTTTAACATCTCCAGTCCGGACCCTTCTTCTGATCTCCAGACATTTATATCCAGATGCAAAGGGGTTCCTGGGCCCAATTTCAATGTGTGAGTGTGGAGGTTTCCCCACACCAACAAGCAGGTCTCAGACACCAGCAGTGTCTCCAAAAGTTCAACTCAATTCTGGTACTATCTACCAGGGGGTAGAATCAGATTCCAAGGGTAAAGGGCTCCATCCCACAAGACCACCCTCCAGTTCAGACTCCAGATGCAAATCCAGGGTGTTACCTGTGCTTCTGATCAACCGGCTACAAACGAGAGGTTCCCACGACCCCTCCTTTCATTTGATTAATTTTCTAGAATTGCTCACAGAACTCAGGGAAACACTTACTTATGCTTACCAGTTTATTAAAGGATGTGATCAGGCATGCAGGTGAGTATCCAGAGGGCAGAGACGTGTAAGACAAGATGTGAGGGGAGGGTCACAGAGCCTCCATGCCCTCTCTGGGTGTGTCACCCTGCCAGAACCTCCTTGTGTTCACCAACACTGAAGCTCTCTGAAAAAGACTGCGAGCTGTTCTTTTGGGTTTCTATGGAGGCTTCATTACGTAGTCATGATTGACTGAGTCATTGGCCATTGGTGACTGATTTGACCTCAAGCCCCTTCCCCTCCCTGGAAATCAGAGGGTGGGACCGAGAGTCCCGATCCTCTGATCATATGGCTGGTTCTCCTGGCAACTAGCCCACACTGGTTGTGGGGTCCAAAAGTCACCTAAATTAACATGAACTAGAAATTCCCAGAGTTTTTGGAGCTGTGAGCCAGGAATTGTAGACAAAGATCAGATATAAATTATAATGTCACAGAAGGCAAGGGGCTACCCAAGGGAGGCAGGAAAGAATGATGAGAGCCCCAAGGTCCTGCCTTCTGGGCTCATGCACAATCATTTGTCCTGGAGAAGCAGGTCCTACCTGGCCAGCCACCAGAAAGTCAAGGCCTCGAGATCGTCCTGGAGGTGGCCTGCTAGAGGTGGGTCTCAGGACAGCACATATGGGCGCCAGAGGCAGAATAGAGTCCAGACAAGGCAAGGCAACTAACACACACCTTCACTCACTTCATCCTTCCATTCGTTCATTCTTTCATTCACAAACTAACATAAAAAAATACAGATTTGAATCAGTCCTGACTCTCAACTATTTCAAGCAGTGGGGGAAGACAGACAAACTTGTGCTTTATTTGAGGGCAACTGGGAGCTGTGGAAGGTTTTTGAGCAGGAAAATGACAGGGTCTTATAGATATCAACATGATTCCCCTGAGGCCAGTGGAGGGAAAAGCTGGAAGGGAGAGAATGGAGGACAAGAGGCCAGAGAAGAAACTGTTGGGATTATTCAGGATGGAGACTCAAGTCTGTGTGGAGACAGCAGCCTTGGTGATGGAGGAAAGAAGCAATTTCAGACACTTCCAGCAAGTGAAATTTGAAGGGAGGTGTAGAGAGTGAGGGCGGGAGGTGTCTGGAGTGATTCTCAGAGCCCTGACTCTAGGAACTAACAGGGCGAGGTGCCCTTGCCCAGAGCAGGGCAAACGTGCTGGGCTGGGTGGGAAGAAGGTGGGAGAGATGGCAGCTGAGTCGGCCCCGCGGGTGGACTTGTTCACTAAGGGGGAACAGAGGGCCTGGGAGGAGCTGTGGGAACACACACACACACACACACGCACACACACTCCCCTCCCACACCAAGGCATACAGTAATCAAATCATTTAAACCTAGGGAAAAAGAGAAAATATTCAAACCAGCGAAGCAAAAGACAAACTAAAAACGGAGATGAAAATTACAGCAGAATTCTTATAAGAAACTATGCAGGTCAAAGAATTTGAAGAACTGAAACGGGAAAAATGTTAACCTAGAATTCCTGACCCAATAAACATATCTTTCCAAAATTAATGTAAACGAACATTTCTCTGACCAACAACAGCAGAGGGAATTCATCCCCAGTGCACCTGCGCTATAAGAAATATACGAAAAGATCTTCAGGCAGGAGGAAAATGATACAATACAGACACTGGAATGTGTACAAAGGAATGAAGAGCCATTGAAATGGTTAATATGTGGATCAATATACAAGAGTTTATTTTTCTACTTAAAAACTCTCTTTAAAATGTACTGTTCTAAAAAAATAATATATTATGGGGTTTATAACAATATAATAGGGGGTTGAATTATGTGCTTACCAAAACCACATTAAGTTAAGCATGCAGAAGCAACATATTACATGAACTGTAACTCAAATTAATAACAGAAAATATCTATCTCCTCACATGTCCTCCAACCATTCGTGTAGAACCATCAGGGAGAGTCCTGGACGCCAGAGGTGAAGGGTCATTTCTGGAGAGGAGGCAGGGCCACCTCATGCAGCACTTCCTAGCTCCATAGAGCTGTGCCAGGGAGGGTCTCAGACACAGTGGTCTGATGGACCCTCATCCACCTGTCAGAGATCTGGAGCCCAGACCTCAGCACCACCGGGAGGAAGGGGCTCAGTCACACCTTTCAGCCCTATCCCCTTGGGAGACTCTGACCCTGTGGGGGAAACACAGTTCTGAAATGAGAGATCGGTCCTGTAGAGGGTGTGTTCTGGAGAGGACAAGATGGGTGAAGCCATCCAAGGTGTCTCCAAATGTAGGACATCTTGAGAAGGGCTTCTCACCTGGTGTAGTAGATCCAGGTGAGGCTGTAGGTGAGAAGAAAGGCAGCCCGCATTAGGGACCCCCTGAGCAGGGTGAGGACTAGAGGCCAGGAGCCCCCCTGCTGCCCAGAGATGTGGGGCCAGGAACAAGAGAAAGCTGGGGGAGGAAGAGGAGAAGGATGGAGGGGTGAGTTTCCTAAAGTCCACACCTGAGCCTGTCACTACCCCACCTAGAACGCAGGTGTTCTGTTGTACTCACCCTGCACAACTAGGTTCACGGAGACATGGTAGGAGCCCCAAGGGTCCTGAGCTCTGCAGGTGAATTCTCCTCCATCCCCTAAGACCACCCGGGGCAGCTCCAGGACCCCAGGATCCAAGGCCTGGGAGGGGCACAGGGTCAGGCTTCCCTGGGACCAGCTCAGCCTGGCAGGGTAGTTGCCATCAGTGTCACAGATCAAGCGCAGGGACTGGCCGTCCTGGACGGGCAGGGATGTGGCATTGCCCAGGACCTCTGGGACTAGGGAGACAAAGAGAGCCATAGGACAGGGCTGAGAGGCCCTCTCTCACTCTGTCCTCCCACAGACACAGGAACGGAAAATAGTGTCTCTGAGATAGCAGCACAAGCAAGTGCTGACATCCCTGAAGATCATGAGGTGAGAGGTGGAAGGAGAGGCAACTGGATGATCCAGGATGGGGGAAAGACATCTGAGGATAGGTTGGCTGTGTCTACACACGGAAGACAACATCCCAGGAGGTGGATGTGATGTGTGAGCCATGCAGGGTGTTCACACACATAGTCTGACCACCTGGACGCCTCCCAAGGTGATGCTCTCAGCCTCACCCCTGAGGGCCACAGGGGCCCTGGGAGGGTTCTGAGCAGGGAAGGAAGAGGGTCAGGTGTGGGTATGTAGAGTCCCCTTTGGGGACCAAATTTGGGCAGGTGAAGGGTGGGGACTGGAGGCTGGTAGTCCAGAGAGGAGGCTGGTCCTGTCCAGGTCTCACTCATGTCCAGGAGAAAGTGAGGATGGAGGCCTGAGGAGGGGCTGCGGCCATGGGGATGGAGGAAGACAGGGATCTGAGACATTTTCAGGAAGTTGAGTCTGCAAAACTCACTGAGTCATGGGGAGTGTTGGGTGGCACACAGAGATGTCTGAAGTGACTTCCAGGAATTGACTCAGGAGACTCGGGAGGGAGGGGCCTGGTAAGGGGGAGGGGAGGACACTCAGGACCCTCTGGACACGACAGGGGTTTGTGAGGGTCTTCAGGGCAGAGGTCGGATTGGAAGCACCAGGGTGGACGAGCTGAGCTGCAGAGTCATGCAGAAGGTGGTCAGAAGCAGGTGTCAAGCTGTAGGGACTCAGTCTCCTTGTGGGAGATGGGGATGGCACAGTCAGAGAAGAGGAAGGGAATCTGGGATAGGATGTCATGGGACAGTGAGGGGAGAGAGGAGGTCAGGAGAGAGGAAGCAACCAGAAGTGACAGTGAAGGGACAATTAAGAATTCACAGTGACCCTAGAGAGTCCTCCCAGCGGACAGGAAGGGGGAGGGCTGAGGGGGACTAGAGAGGGGATGGATAATGACAAGGCTGCATTCTGTCCAACCTCCCTGTAGTCCCCTGATATGACCTTTGAGACCCCACTTCCACCCAGGCCTCTCCCACCTGTGCTGTTTCCCTGGAAGACATGGACGGTCAGGTTCTGTGGAGCATCTGGAACAGAAATAAATAAGTGGCCTCCTGAATTAGGGTGGGGTGGTCATGACACATGTGATGGGGTCTGGGTGTTCTCTCCATCTCGACCCCAGCCATGTCTCTAAGAACAGTCCCCAGTATCCCACTCAGACCCTGCCTCACCCTTCCAGGGGCAGGAGGGACTGAACAACTGTGGGGTCTGTGGGGAGAGAGGAGGGGGAGCAGAGGAGCCTCTCTCCTCTAGAGTACTCAGGCGTCCTTCCCCAGGTGTGTCCCGCTCACTGGTCACAAAGATGCTCAGAGAGGCTTCCAGGGAGCCCAACAAATGCTGAGCTCAGCAGACATATTTCCCATGGTGCCCCAGCTCCACCCAGGGCAGCTCCAGGACCCCAGGGTTTGAGGGTGAGGAGGGGGTCACAGGCAGGCTTCCCCGGGTCCAGCTCATGATGGCAGGAGGGTTGCTGTCGGCAACACAGACCAGGCGCAGGGACTGGCCCTGCTGGACTGGAAGAGACGAGCTGTTGCCCAGAGCTTCAGGTCCTGGCAAGACAGAGAAAGCTGAGCCCAGGCCCTCATTAGGGGCTCTCTCTCTCTCTTCCTTGCATCATGTAGATCTGTTTCTTGTCTTCCACTGCCTGATGGGCTCATAGCTTCTGGGCTCAGCCCCAAGGGGACAGGGCTAGGAGCAGGCACTGCAGCCTTCCCAAGAGGCCATTGTGCATTCTCCTGAACAACCTTTGTCCGCATGCCTCCCTTCTTGGCCATCGGTGCCAACGTAGGTCCTAGTTTTGCTTCTATGAGCCTTGCCTTTTTTTCTTTCAAAAAAGGTTCACTGAGACCAGTCTAATTTAGCTGTGTCTGAGAGCTCACAGTCTTGTGGGCGAGACATCCAAAAGCAGGTACTCACAGAGCGATAGGACATGTTTTGTGATGGGGACAAATCGGGCTGAGGGAGCCCTGAGGACAGGAGTGCATTGAGACTGTCAGGACAGGGAGGGCTTCTCGGAGGAGGAGAGGCTTAATCAGAGCACGAGAATGGGTGGGAGCTGGCTAGAGGGTAGTGCCAATGGAATAACATTATGTGAGGAAAGTAAAAGAGGTGCAACTATAGCTGAGGTGTGAAATGACCCTCCATGCTCAGGGAAAAACAAATAGTTCTGTAAAGTTTGAGTGAATGGGCATGTTTGTGAGTGTTTACATGGGAGGCTACTGGAAGAAATTATGGAAGATATAAAACACTACAGCAGAGTGGGGAAAGTCAGAGGCATCAAAGAAAATATTGATTTACTCAGCCATTGGTTTACTAGTAAATGTTTAATGACCAGCTCATTGGGGGAAAAAAAAAAAAGCCCTGATTTGTGGTATTTGCCAATATCCTTGGCAACTCCCATCTTGGCCAACATCAAGCACCCAATTTGAAGTCACTGAACCCAGATTGGGAAAAGATGGACACAATTGGCTCTTGCCAACCAGTGAGATCCAACACCAGTACACCACTAAATGAACTCAAAAGAAAAATGCATGTTTTTGCCTGGAAAAATCACCATATGCTAAGTCAAAAGGCCATCAATAGACTGGAAATCAATCCTTTCAACTAACACACAGCTGATGTCCTTAATATGAAAAGAGCTTCTTCAAACCATCAAGAAAAAATCCACAAAGAAAAACAAACAACTCTTAAACATAATGAAAGATACTCAACCTAGTCACAAAATGATACTGCAACTTAACATGACAGTGAATTCACTTAGGATCAGCAAGGATGAACATGTTCAACACGGAAGGAGATGCGTTGCAGGTGGGAGTATAAACAGAACCACCTCCATGCAGTGGGATTTGGCCACATCTGTAGAAATTACAAACATACCCTTTGATCCAGGACCTTCTTCTCTAGGAAATTATCTGACAGACACACGCACACATGTGGGAAATGTTCTCACAAGTTCTTCAGTGCAGTATTATTTGTCTGAGGAGAAGACTGGAAACAGCGTCGTTTTCCAACAATGGGGGACCAATTAATTACTTTATAGTACAATATACTTCCAGTTGGAAAACCACGGAGTCATCAGTAAAAATGAAGAAGGTTTCCTATGTAGTGATACAGAAGGATCTCTAAGATAGACTAAGTTGGAGAAAAAGACAAGTTTAGTTCATAGAAATGTACCAATGTCACCTCCTTAGTTGTGACAAATGTGCCGAGGTGATGTAAGATTTTAATGATGAGGGAAGATGAATGATGGATTATGGAAACTCTCTGTACTATGTAAATCAAAAATTACTGCATGTGAAAAGATAATTAAAAATAATAATAAAGATATAGAGCAGTGTGTATAGTATGATGTGTACATGTGTGTGTGTTTTTAAATGTATATCCATAGGTTATACTTGGGAAGATAACCAAGAGGGAGGTATACAAGATGCTGAATACTATTTTATTCTAATTAAATTTGGCTAGGGACTAAATTGAGTTTCCCCCAATTCATGTGTTGAAGCCCTAACCCCCAGTGTGGTGGTATTTGGAGGTATCTGGATGAGCTGTTGGGAGGTGGTTACGCTTAGATGAGGTCATGAGAGTGATGACACTGGTGCTCTTATAAGAAGAGAAACCAGAGGGCTGGCTCTTTCTCAGCCTTGTGAGGACACAGCCAGAAGGTGGCCATCTACAAGCAAGGAAGAGAGCCCTCATGAGGAACTGAGTCGATGGCATCTTGATCTTGGAATTCCAGCCTCCAGAACTGCAAGAAATAAATTCCTGTTGTTTAAGCCCCGCAGTCTGTGGTATTTTGTTATGGCAGCCCAAGCAGACTAAGGCACGTTTTATGTTTACTACTTTAAACACTAACATTAAAATGATCCAAGGAGGCTGGAGGAGTAGGCAGGGTCCAGATCCTAAGGAGAACGGGACAGGATTTGGGACAAGGATGTGTCCCTGGTGTGGAGACAGCACATCCGCTGGACATGGAAGAGGCCCTTCATACTCCTTGATGGCAGGTTCAGCTGTGGGGCAAGGCTAGCTTGTAAGCTGATGATCCAGTGGGGGACTTCCCACATCTACTGTCCCCACACCTGGCCTGAGCCTTTCTCCCTTCTGAGTTCTGAACCCCAGCTCTGCTCTGAAGGGAGGAGACAGACCCCCCTTCCACCACACCTCTGGGAGAGGAGAGGCTGCGTCCTACCTGTGCCTTCTTTCTGGAACACGCTGATGGTCAGGTTCTGGGGCGCATCTGGACAGACAGATATAATTGTTCCCTTTTCAGTGGCAGGAAGGTGGATGTTGGCCCTTCTCCCCAGAAACTTTAGAAATAAGAGGGGGTGGAGTTGGGTGTCCTCTTTCCTTCCTCCCAGAAACAGCTCGCAGGACCCAGCACCCAGTACCCCAGGCCAGGACCCCCTTCCCTTCCCCCACACCCACTGCCCTCAGGGATCCGGCCATCCTGGCCTGGCACTCACAGGACACGTTGAGCCGGATGATCCTCTCCGAGCTCACGCCAGCTCCGGGGAAGGTCACTCGACAGGTGAGGTTGGTGCCATGGTCCTGGGGCCGTGGGGTGAGGGTGAGCACTGAGGAGTGGGGGAACTTGGGTCCCCGGGAGGTGATGGTGGCCCCGATTCAGGAGAAGGTGGGGGGCGTCCCCCTCTCAAAAGCCCATGGCACTGCACCAGTAATGTTCTTGGGGTGGCCAGATTCTAGGGTCCCCTGGATGTGGATGTCAGGTGTCTGTGTCAGAGCTGAGGAGGAGAGAGACAGAGACCCAGGCCCTGGATATGGGGACCCCAAGCGTAACCCTAAGAGCAACCTCCGCCTCAGGCCAGCCATATACTCCTCAGCTGTCCTCAGTGTCCTGTCCTCCTGGATCACCCTTGGTCACTCCCAGTATGAGAAGCAGAGAATCCCCTCCCGGCCCTCTGAACCCATCCATGTGTCCTCTCCTTGACCCCATTCTTTACCTGTCACATGCATAGAGAGCGAGTTCTCTCTGTAATCATATTTCACATAAAACCCTCTCTCTACTCTAAAGACATATGTCCCAGAGTCCCTCCTCCTGGTGTCTGTGATGTCCAGGGAGCAATCATAGACCCGGGGGTCTCCAAGGAGGTGGAATTGGCCCTGGGTCTCCCCCTGCACTTCACCATCTGGGTTGTTTGTGGCCACGCGTGTACCCTGCCATTGATATCCCCATTGTCGGAACCAGTAGCCATGAGCTGGGTCAGAGTGAGAGTATCCAAATGGAGGGTAGGAGACATTGCAGGGCACTCGGACGCACAGGCCCTCCTGCACTGTCACGGATTTCACTTGCAGCCAGAATCTCCCATCC